TTCCAGAATCTAAGGTATTTCATCCCAACTTTGAAGGCAAATTTCTAGTTCGCTTCCTAACCATTTTCAGTGTTCTACCTATTTATTTGAAGCTCGTAATGAGGGGAACAAGATCATACCATCATGAGGTCAAAATACGGTTGGAGCCGGCCGGAAAAGTGCTCCAAAAGTGGCTGGTCAGTTACCGAAAAACTAGGGAAAAAACCTTCCAGTGCGTGTTCTGCAGCTCTGTATTTACAGAGATGAGAGAGATAAGGTGAGTTTGAAAGAGAGGGGGAGTGAAATGATATAGAGAGAAACGGAATGGGATGGCAGAAAAGAAAGAGAGATGAGAGACAGAGTTCAAAAAAAAGAGGGAGACACATGATAGATGGAATGGAGAGTTGAGGTGCGGGACCCACGACCATAAATATTACTAAAGAAATAAAATATCTCATAAAATTACTAAAATAATAATATAAAATAACATAATAATTATGAGAAATATATAAAATGTAAAATAGTAATTATATGCAAAAGTATATTTCGACTTCCTAGTTCCGTAAAATCTCCTTCGTAGTTCTGATTTCGATTTGCGTGCACCTACGTTTTCGTACTGTCAAGTACTTCGAGAATAAGGTAAAATAGAAACTTGTACATGTCACGAAATGACGGTCAACGAAAGCCAACTATCTCTCTTCTAGGGCATTTTCGTCCTTTCACCCTTCTTAAATTAATAAAATCTTAAAAGTAGGGACGGGTTGTCACAATTAAAAATAACATTAAACATTAAGAAAAACAATGAAAATTTGATAGAATCCTTCCATCATCTCTGAATATTTTGTCTTGACATTCAACTCTGCAAACAGATTGTTCGATCTATTTTCAATTGTAAGAATTCTTTTAAGCGAACAATTAAGATATTGTGACACGCCCGACCCTGATATTATTCAAACACCAGGGTAGGCACGTGCTGGCCGACATCTGAAAGTGAATAAAAACAATTAACTGACATAAATAAAACTAGTAAATTTAATTATAATGAATATGCAATTGTGGAACGTGTTCAAAGTATACAACTAATCTTAGACACTAAAAATGAATAATATAAAATTGAATGAACAAAATGATGGGTCCTACACTGAGAGGACTCGAAGATGCCGATGTGGGAGTGCCTTGACTTTGGGATTATACGTCTCGATTTTAAGTCCTGAGGGGGCGCAAAACAAAACATGAGTTGATCAAGTTGATATATAAGTAGTACTAACATAGTTAATATTTAATAACGTATCAACCCCCAAAGTTTATGAAAACTCATATGGCATAATAAGTAATAGGTTTTCCGAAAACCCTAGCATGCCATGAAACCTTTCGTAAAACATATATCATATAGTGTGCTAAGTAGTGGTATCAGTATCACCCGAAGGCATATAGAACTCTTCGTTCGCCCGAAGGCATATAGAACACTTCATTTATAACATTTCATTTAGAAGCACGCCCCTCCTCCCCCCAGCCGCTGCCGCAAAGACATATAAGTATCAATTGCCCGTAGGCTCTTACAGCACCCCCCTGGAAGGCATATATAAGTATTAATCGCCCATAGGCTCCTACAACACCCACCCGAAGACATATATAAGTAGCATTCGCCCATAGGCAGGAAATTCCCCCGTAGGCAGATCGTATGAGTAACTGCTAAATAAGCACATAAAAACATTAACATTATATTTCATATATATATATATATATATATATATATATATATATATATCTAACTCAAACGACGCTCAGTAGCTAAAATGTCATATTGTAAAACCACGTTCACAAGTATGTATATAGTCATCAATCATATATACCACAAGGAACGTAAAGTCGATAAAGCATAATATATCATAAAGTGTAAATCCAATTTACTCATAAATGTTTCATAAAACATAATCAATAAATCATGCTTTTCATGTATGCATTTCTAATAGTAAAATCATGCATTTTAGAAGGGGTCCACTGTCACAGCCCGTCCCAAAATTTCATTTATCGTGGATGTGAAATGACGGAATTGCCCTTAACAGTTGCTAAGGTACATGTGACATGTTATTTGAATATTGCATACTCTCCTAAATTCTTGGAAAATTTTAAGTGGATTAAAAGTTGTTTACAATTTGTGTGGTTAGGGACTTAAAGAATTTTGGATTATGGTTTGTTTTGGGTGGACCACACACACACACGGGACACATACCCTCACCCCGTGCCCTTTCTCTCATCCCTCTCAGTTCACTCTCTCTCTCCCTCCCTTTCGAACTTGTACGGACAACAACGAAACCCCTCAAAACTTCACGGATCGATGTAAAAAAGGTGAGTTCCTTCATCCTTGCAACCAGTGGCGAAGCCACGTGAGGGCGAGGAGTGGCGGCCGCCACTCCCTTCACCGGAAAACACGCCTGGAGCAAAGGTTCAGCCCCTCCCCTTGTCGGAAAACTGGACCGGTTCATCCCCTATCTGTTCCGGTGCAGTGGTTATGCTGCTGTGCAGCAGAGGTGAATCCCTTCTCTTTTTTCAAACATCCAGGCTAAAACGAAAACGGGACCGTTTTGTATATGTTTGGAAAAAATAAATATATATAAATAGGGGGACCGCGTGTCCCTCATTCCCTTCTCAGTCTCAGACCGTGTCCACTGTCCTCTTTTTCTTTTTCAATCTTTGGCATTCACCCAATTCTTCACCCAATTCCCATTTTAATATTTTATATAAGAGACCCTAATCGGTAATCCTAATGCCGAATCCCTTTTTACTCTCCCCAGTTTCCTTTTTCTTTCTAACCCCATCTGACCATGCCACACCGCCTGTCCACCTCTCTCCTCTCAACCACCACTTCATTTCTTAATTTTATTTTTTTTTATATTTTTAGCTCCATTAATTGATATGAATTTTTGTTTTAATAATTAAATGCGTAGAAATTAGGAATATGGAACGATATAACACATGAAATCATACTCGATTAGTTTAAACAATGTTATTCCGATGGAGAAGGGATGTTGGACGAGAAGGTTGAGTGGAGGGAATGAGGGTGAATTCGACGAAGGAGGGATGTTGGAGGAGAAGGTTGCGATGGTATCGATGAAGGGCTTCGATTTTGCAGATTTACCATGGCAGGGGCAATGGTAGGAGAAGGGAGGTGTTTGGTTATCAACATAGCAAAAGGTTTGGGAAAATATTAAATGGACAGGTGTTATAATGTTATTAGGGCACCTGTCTATTTTTTTGTGACCCACTTTTATTATTCTTGTATGTATTTTTCTCCCTTTTTTGAAGACCCCAGCGTATCCATCTTAAACTTTTACATTATATATAAATATTGTTTTAAAAAATAATATAAATATTGTTTTAAAAAATAATATAAATATTGTTTAATGCTTATTTTACGATAAAAGAAATTTATTTAAATTCATCTAGGCTCCTACCCAAATCTTGCCTAGGCGCCTAGCTGCTACGCCCTATTCCGCTGACTGACAAGCACCTAACGTTTTTTAGAATCTAATTCTAACCAATTTAAGCTTCTTACATGGTTTTAATATTTACCGATTACAATCACTTTGGTAAAGAGATTGTTTTTTATATGAATATTGACTCAAAACTTTGCACTTTCTAATGTGAAAGCAACCGTTTCAATTGAACCTTACACTCTTTTGAATTTCGCCCCTCCCCTCGGCAAATCCTAGCTTCGCCACTGCTTGCAACCTCCTGAATCGATTGATACTATTTTAGAACTGGAAACCCTTGAAATCACGTTGAAACCGTAACCCAGTTTAATGTCACGTTCATGCACACGTGAAATGTTGGTTTTCAGGGAATTCTAAGCTTACAGGGAGCTTAGTGAGGTTCCAAGGAAGCTCGGAGTACTTAGTTTGAAGGTTTTAGACGTCGGGATCGTAGGGTTCGAAGTTGGCCGGTTTTCTTGGATTTTCTCCGGTGAGATTTCGTGTGTTTTTTAGCCTTAAATTAGTACATCGTGATTCTACATGCTTAGGGCTTCATTTTGGTATAAATTGCGTAAAAAATGGTTGAGAATTGACGGAGAAAATGAAGTTTGAAAAATCCCCAGTTTTCCGGCGCCGGCAAAATCAGTCCGGCGACTGGAGGTAGGAGACGACGCGAGTGGGGGCGCGTAGGTCCGTGCCATTCCTGGCTTGTAAGGGCGTGTGACTGATCCAAAATTTTTTCTAAAAATATCTCAACGTCCGTAACGTCGAGTAGGTCACTATGGTATATTCATATACCCAATTTGAGCATCATATGAGAAGTTATTACGTATTGTTGGTTATGTGCTTTAAATAACGTTTTTATAGTTGTTTCGCATATAGGTGAGACCTATCACAAGGACGAACGCATTCAAGGGCGTCACGGGGGTTACGACCCTTCGACTTACCAGTGAGTGGGCAGTTATTTTCTGTTTATACCTATATACTAATGATTTTTCCCAGAAATTGAATTTAAATGAAAGTATGTTTTAAAATGCCATGCATGCATATTATATGAAATATATGAATTAATATTTGATGCAAATATGTGAAATGGTGCTGTGGACGCACATGTGAGTATCAGGTGAGTTTTATGTTGTTCATGTGGTTTATTGATGATGTGAATTGTGTTGAGAGCTCATAACCTGCACCCTGGTGTTAGTGCTTATATTATTCACCCCGCACCACACGCTCACCTTGGATCCAAGTAGGTGCATGTCGTACAGACCATTAGAGGTGGTTCCAACATGTCGTACAGACCATTAGAGGTGCTTCCGACTCGTAGGTGACTTTAGATTATTATACAGCTATTGATAAGAGAAGCACTAGAGCGTATTCTTACACCATTCTTGTCGTACAGACTAGGGCTGGGTTCGGTTCTGATCGGTTCGGTTTTTTGCCAAAACCGAAACCAAACCGAAATTTCGGTTCGGCTCAAATTTTTTTCGGTTTTTTTCGGTTCGGTTTTTTTTTCGGTTCGGTTTTTTCGGTTTTTTCGGTTCGGTTTCGGTTTTTTTTCGGTTTTTTTTTTTTCATCCAAAAAATGCAAAACAACCACAACACTTTATCATTCTGTTTCCCTGTAACATGAGACTGAGTTCTCTCTACAGCATCATTGGCCACAAGAAATGAACCACAGATATCACAGAGTGCCATTTTTTTCTCCTGTGCTAGCATCAACACTTTATCATTCTGTATTTCTTCCTTACAGCATTTACTCGCTGAAATCATCAAAAGCCGCTCTCTCTCTCTCTCTCTCTCTAAAAAACTCAAATCGTTTTGCCCATCTCATCTCCAAATGCACTACATCTTTTTAATGCTTATAGTCCATAGAAGATCTGAATCTGACTGCACTGTTATTTTCTCTCCCTTGACGATATTCGATGTACTTATCAGACCACCAAACCTCATCTCCGTTTCAGCTGGAAAAGAAAAGTAAAGCACGGGCTGTTAGATAACTCGAAACATGAACAATGAAATCAATATTAGACACGCCTTTTCCCTTTTTGGTCACATTTAAGCAGGTCAGAACAGGAAGAGGTGACCAGAAAAGTATATGCTAAGTGAACCCCTAATACAATAAAAGTATGCATTAACTAGCCTTACGCTCTTAAGAGATACTCACCGAGATCCCATTGAAGTCCAGTGGTTGTAGTACTTCCAGATGGCATCCCAATGGGTATGAGTCCACAATGAGGGCCTTCAACAGAAGACTGAATATGGATCTCATGGCGGTGTGAAGATGGATGAAGCAATCATCAGATATGAGAATTATTTGAATGTTTGAGAATCGACATAACACATTGATGTTTCCAATCGACATAACTCAGTTCATGTATAGAGGTGAAAAACAAACTAGCAGTCTATTTAGCAAAGTGTCAAAATCTGTAATCAACAAATTTGACTACCCAACTCACAATAAGTTGCAAGGAGTAAGGACACAGTTTTAGTTACCGAAAGTTATACGAAAGCACCTACAAAATCAGACTCAATTCCAGTAGAGAAAAACAAAACGAATGTTGGAACGATAATAAATACACAACATACATTAGACTTATCTAGGTTTGGTGCCGAGTCACATATGTATGCTATACACTTATGCAAATCGGTCGTGTCCTGATCCTCAGATTCATTAATAATTTGAGTTCCCTGCATTCAAATAGCAAAAGAGACATCCTGAGAAAACACCAGAGCACTGCATGTATGCAAATCAATTAGCAATTTAGCAACAGTACCACCGCGACATCAAATGCAACATAACTCCAAGGATGACAACATTAACAAACAATTCCACAAGTTTGCTAGATACGACAAGGAATGACAGCTACAGAAAGAAAATAACCTTGCAAAACCAAAAGAAAATATAAAATTAATGAAACCTCAACTAATAGTTTTCATAACTGAAGTTACCCAAAACAAATTGCAAAACCAAAACCCATGAAATTGAAAAGCTACAGAACCCATGAAATTGAAAATAAATTCTGCAAAACGCATCAAATTGAAAACAAAATATGTAGAACAAACATGAGAGAAATTATTATAAGACTAACCTTGCAAAGGAACGAAGTAGTGGGTCGAGACTCGAAACAGCAAGAGGTCGTGTGTCACAGGTCATGGCGGTGAGAAACTGAGAGCAAATCAGTGACGACGAGTGAGATGGCGACACTTGCAGGTCGCTGTGAAGGAAGAAGACGAAGCGGAAGAGCGGCGGAGTTGGGAAGGAAGGAGAGAGGGTCCAGAGTACAGAGGAGAGGGATAAGGGAAAAGGGTTGGGCCGTCGTGGGTCGCCTGAGAGATTGAGAGAGACAGAGCGATTGAAGTTGAAGACCCAGCGAGAGAGAGAGGAGGCTCGGCTGCGCTGGGTTAGGGTTACACTGGAGGAGAGGAGGCAGGGAACGAGAGAGAGAGGAAGGGAATGAAAAAAAATAAAAGGTATGGGTATGGCTGCTAGGGTTAAAGGGTTAAAGGGTTTTGTTAAGTTCTCCAAAAAATTTAAAAAACATCTCAGACATCCTGGAGGTTCGAACCCGTGCCTTGGGGCTTGAAAAGGTTCACCGCAACCAACTTAGCAACAAGGTATGTTTTGTTATGATTGTATGACTAACCTATTTATAATAGTTAAAAAAAATAATTAAATATATATATATCAGTTCGGTTCGGTTTGGTTCGGTTTCCGAACCTCAAAAACCGAAACCGAACCGGTCAGATTCGGTTCGGTTCGGTTTGACAGTTTCGGTTCGGTGTTTTTTCGGTTCGGTTTTTTTCGGCCTCGGTTCGGTTTGGTTTTCGGTTTTTTTCGGTTTTCGGTTTTTTGAACCCACCCCTAGTACAGACTACTTTAGGTAGTTCCGATTTATGTGCAGAGTAGTGCCGTACAAGTCACAGTGGTGACTCCGGTTGGGTTGGATATTGAGCTATAGAATTAACCGTACAGGACAGCTGCAGAGTCTCTGGTTAATTCATTATTTCACTTGTTATATTGATGCATCTTTATCATGTTTTGAAGCATATCATGGCATATTTCATGAAAAATGTTAAAGGCTTGTGATTTGAGTTTTACTGTTATATATACTATTTTTCTGGGAAAATATACAGATTTTACAGCGAGGGGTTAGAAGTGTTATTAAATGAAATATTTTTGAAAAACTTTGTTTTACTGACCCACTCAATCTTGTTTTGCGCCCCTCCAGGTTCTAGTTAGCAGTGTTGGTGGCTCACGAGGATTCTCACGGCGTTCTGACAGACTACTTAAATGTAGGACTCACCTTTGGGTGTTGTAATTTAGTAATGGTCCTACTTGACTGCATTTAGTATTTATGCTCTGAATATGTGTGTTTCACACTTAAACTCACTCTAGCATGTTAGTGGGATATTATTGCTATTAGTTGGTTTTTATTCCTTCGTATTTCTTTTACCTTTTGCTTCCGCATCGCACTTTTGGTTACGTCACGCCCACATGACGGCCAGCACGCCTTGATTCTAGGATCGGGGTGTGTCATCCACTCACCTTACACCGTTGGCAAAGAGCGTGCAAACAAGGGTGGACGGAAATGCCACTAACAAACGCACCTTGCATGACAGCTAACTCGCTGTGGTTTGGCCGAAAAACGCCTCGAAAGTAGTCGTGCTCGCTGGAAATCTAGGAAAAGCTACTCCGAGCTATTTTCAACGTCAAAAAATCACAAAACACGTCGGGAAAGATGATGAACAATGACACCATCATTGTGAAGTTCTTTGGTGTTTTCTATGGGGTTTTGAGGCTCATCCGTCCAGGTGTGAAGGTGGTTGTGCATTGTTATGAGCGTGTGGTTCATAGAAGAAAGGGAGAGCTTGCCGAGAGAGGGCTCGGGAAGATAGAAGAGTTAGAGAGAATGGGAGAAAGTGAGGGGGAGAGAGATAAGAGAGTTATGAGAGAGGGAAATCACAAGTCCAAAGAGGAAGAAAGGAAAAATGGCAGGCGGAACCAAAAAGGAAATGGGCCCCACTTGGGTGCATACCAAACAAGACCCAAAAAGCATCATTTCAAAATATCTAACCCAACAGTAGTGAAATTACAAAATTGTCCTTCCATTCCGTAAGTTTCGGAACAAGTCGTTACATATTGCCTAATAGCTTTAAGAACCATTAGATAGCTCCCATAAATCTCATGATAAGTATCCAAAGATCATAGTGAATTTTGATAGGAATTTCTCTTGAAGTAATTACGCATTGATCTAGTCACCACCGCCGGAGCCATAAAGGGCTATCTAAATTGATTTTTTTTTTCCGACAAGCTCAATTGCATCCTAGATTTCTAGGAAAAAAAAATATTTTTCTTTCGTATAGTGATAGTTATTATCGTCAACTCTTTGTCTTACACTAATTAGTTCAATACTTGTGCCAAAAGAATTTTGTGATCATGAGTTTTCTCAGGAGGTTGCGTTTGGGGAGGTTCATATACAAGGTCGTCTTTGAGATTTTGGGAGTTATGTGCGAAATTTGTAAAAAGGGTCCTTCTTAAGATAGTTTTAAGTTTTAAAAAAGTATGACAATATATTGATACTAGAAAACATTCACTTAAATTAAAACAAAGTCACTTAGTAATACGGTCTAGTGGTATTCCTCTTCACTTGTAAGTGAGATGTCTAATGTTCAATTCTCGCCAAAGGCGAATTTGAACCACATTATTGTTAGTCCATTGTCAGGCTTAGCCCACTTCCCCACCCTCTTAGCGTAGATAATGTCGTTTGTTAAAAAAAAATTAATCAAAACAAACTTTAGCACTCACTGATTGCATATTTACAAATGTCCTTAATGATAAGTAAAAAGAGCTACAAACATAACATTCACTAAATAATCAAAATCAGTTTTATCTTAAACAGCCAAACATGAAAAAAAAACATCAAACCTCTAATTTTAAAGTTTCACTTGAATGTATAACATTGTTATATAATAAAATTAAGAAACTGCCACTTTTCAGGGTGTTATTATTGACACTCAAAATATCTCATTGTATTCCAAGTTTTTATATTTAGAAATTAAAAAAAAAACTCTTATAAGGAGTGCACAATGCGGTTTAAAGTGCTAATAAAAGTAATTTTTTTTAAATATAGAACATTATTACATGATGTTAGATAACAAAAATTTAGGGGCCCCTTCAAATTTGGGGCCTTGTGCAACTGCACTTTTCGCTTCCCGATCAACGCCCCCTTCTGTTCATATACATTAGTGAACTGAGTGAGTAACTCTTTATTTCAGGAGGAACTGGTTCTGCGTTGGAGGATTCAATGGTGGAATCGGCGCTTTTCTTTCTTGATGGAGCCATTTTGTTATGGTTTTGCAATTTACTAACTTAGCATTCATACGGCATAATGCCTTATAATTTGTAGTCCAATTCGAATCTCATTGTCATTTTATCAAAGTTATTTTTAATGTTTTGTATAATTTTTTATTTGTTAAGTAATTAATTATAACGGCAAATTTGTATTTTTATAGATAGATTTTAGATCGAAGGGGTACTGGTGAAGGTGAATCAAAACCTTAAGGGGTATTAGTGTAGGATTTCAAACCTGAAGGAGTTTTGTGAAAACTCAGAAAACTCAAGGGGTGTTAATGTAATTAACTATTTGGCTATATGTAACGTGATAATTAATAGGGAACTTTCATGAAAAAAGCTTAGTCTAAGTTTATTTTAACAAAAAACCATCTATGCTATAACTTTATTTAATGAAAAATACTTAAATTTTAATGAAAAAATCCTTAAACTTTAATAAAAAAAAAGACAAAAGAACTTAAATGTTATGAAAAAGACATAATTTTAATATAAAAAAAAAATTGACATAGGGACCCGCGCGTCCTCACACATATAACGGTACTACACTGTTTATGAAACGTAACGGTACTACACTGTTTATGAAACTTACTACATTGTTTATGAAACTTAACGGTACTGCATTGCTTACAAAACTTAACGGTACTGCACTGTTTATGAAACTTAATGGTACTACACTGTTTATGAAACTTAACGGTACTACATTATTTATGAAAATTAATGCGGGCACACATGTTTATATTTTATGGTTTTTTTCTTTTTTTTCTTATTATTAAATAAAGTTATTAGATAATTTTTAGTTAAAATATAAAGTTTAAAATTGTTTTCATTAATTTTCCTATAATAATCCCAATTTCACATTAACTGTGCGAGTAATTAGATTCACATGAGGAATCGGTACTTATGACTCCTGCAAGAATTGTATTCATGTTCAGTTCGCTCACCAGGAATCTAAATTAATAACATTTTCAACAAAAGTGATAAGAAAATAATAAAAAATAAACAAAATAAAAAAACAGAAGAAAAGGGGAAAAAGAAAGAAAAGTAAATGAATCTAGACTGATATTGGGCCTCAAAATAAAACAGAATCCGAACTGCTTATAACCAAAAAAGGGAAAGAAAAATTGGAAATCTGGGTCTTTTGCGTAAGAAAAATAAGAAATCGGGAACTATCTTTGTGGAGCCAAAAATATTCACTAGGCGACACGTGGATTTTTGGACAAAATATGACAAAAATACCCTGGAGGCATACCGGGTCTCCTACACGCGAGCAGTGGAGAATCATCCATCAACCAAGTCAGGAGTACCCAAAATGGGTAACAATTCAAAACCTATTTCATATATGTTTTTACCTCATTTTTTCCTTATTCAATTAGCCATTTATTTCAAACATTCCATAACA